CCCAATTTCTTTTTATTACTTTGCCAGCTTCTCTGTGGGGGGGAAAGCATCTTGGTTAGGCTAAAACCATGGTGTTGCCAAGGTAAGAGAGGGTGAGCATAGCCTCCAAAGAAGACTGCTATGGGATTCTGGTCAAACAAGAAGACAGATTGTACTGGTCCATTTCATTTTTTGAAGAGCAGATTATTAGTAGGACACATTTAGAAGATTGAATAAGGACTTTGAAATGATATGGTATTATCATAACTCAAATTTCTGTCAAAGAAAGAGCATATCTTTGTAAAGTTTGTCTAGTTTACCTTCAAAAAGATCCTAAACTCAAAAAGATCCTAAACACAACAGAGTTGGCAAATGTAGACGTCTACAAACCCCCCACCTCTGCAATCCTGAGGGCATCATGAGGGGCCTGGCACATAATAAATACTTTTTATGTTAAATTGAGCTGATTTTAATGGAATTTTCCTTATTTTTCCAGCTTTATTGGGATATAATTGACATATAACACTGAATAAGTTTCAGGTGCATTTGACACATTATATATCACAAAGTGATTTTCACAATAAGGTTAGGTTTTCATCTCGCATAGTTGCCTTGTGTGAATGTGTGTGTGGTGAGGAAACTTAAGGTCACTTCTTTTAACAACTTTCAATTATACAAGGTTGTTTTCAGAACTGTAGCACCATGCTGGACACCACCTCCCCACTCACACCCCCAACTGAAGTTTCGGGGTACTTTCTATAAGTCCCTGCTTCAGGAAAGCTTACTGATACCTCATTTATAAAGGAAGGCTTTCCTTCTTGCCTTCTTCAAAACATTTTGAAAGTTATTCACTTTTTAAAATCAGGAGAATTCAGCAAAGTCATTTCTAAATTTACATCTCCTTTTCTCAAGGAGTATGTCTGATCATATAAAATCACACTTAATATTTATATCCTAGGGAAGCATAAACATGCAACAAAATGGTTTTCAACTCAGTACCACCCAGCAAACAGAGATAATATCTCACTACCCATTTCTACTGCTAAGAAATAAATTATCCCCAAATTTAGCAGCTTAAAATAATAGCCACAGTTTTCTCCCCAAGATAAGTTTATTTATTTTTATAAATAATGCATTCAAGTAATTGAAATTTAATTTCTTCATTTGGAATTTTATCATCACACAGGCAATAATAGTTTAGAAAGGTTTTCCTTTTTAATGTCCTATTTTATTTTGTTATGTTCTTTTAAACATTGTTAGGATATTTAGAGAAAAATATTTCATCCAGAATGAGAATTGATGCCTTATTTAATATCAGATATCATTAACAAAGTTTTTCCTACATTGCACAAAATCACTAGAAAATTACATCATCCAGAAAGTAACTAAGATTCTCAAGTGCAACCACCAAATTGTATAAAACAGTTACTATATTTGTTCTAGGAGATGTTATACAAGGAAGAATATAATTTAATCAATTGAATAGCCACAGTTTTATAAAACACTGTAGTACTGTAGATCAGAAATTCTGGCAAGGCTCAGCTGGCAGATTCTTCTGGCATACTCAGTGTTGAGTTGAGTCATCAGGTCATAATCACCTGGTAAATGAGCTCTTCTGGAAGGTCCTAGTGGCCTCATTCATGTGTCTGACCCTTTGGGTACTCACCTCAGTCTACTGGAGCTGATATAACAAAAATGCCATCCTCTGGGTCACTTCAACAGAATTTTTTTCTCATAGTTTTGGAATCTGGGGAATCCAAGATCAAGGTGACAGCACATTTGATGTGGATGAGAACAAGCTTCTTAGTTCAGTCTTCTTGCTGTCCTCACACTCACCTGGCAGAAGGGATGAGGGATGTTCTAGGGTCAGCTGCTCCATTTTGAGTGCACCCCTTGGACTTGAGCTGTTACACCAGCTGAGCCAACACCACGTCTTCATGGATCTGTGTGCACCAGATCCCCTTGCTGAGAAACCAATTATTTTCAATCCACCTAGATATTATTTTCCATTTAGAAACCCAAGATATTTATACACCTTGAGCAAAGCAACAATCTTTATTTAGAGAGAAACAAAACCTGGACTACACAGAAGATATGTGCAGAGACTACCCACGGATCATTAGCTGACATACAACCACAGCCCGGGTTTAATTGGCAATAGATAACCGTTCCAAGAGTACAGTTAAAAATAATGTTCCAAATACTTCAAAATACAAACAGCCTGGAGATAATTAAGATAGCACAGGACGGCAGCCTCCAGGGTAAATTATGGCCGTGTTGTGACTTAATTGGTTTCAGAGAAACTTACCAGCTACTGCCCCCGTGTCGCAGAAGGACTGTGTGTTTTCTTCATTTGGAGGAGAGAGAGTTCCGACTTACCTCAGCCCCAGAGCAGAGGGAGCTTCTCCTGACACCTGTGTGCACACTTGCGCAGCAGGTAGGAGGCAATAGGTCAAGGAGAATGTCCTTGACTGTTCCCCTGGCCATGTAGACTCTCTCCACGTGGGGTCTGACACTGAGGAAGAGTCACCATCTGATCCCGGGTCTCCTCTGAGACAATTTCTTCCCCCGTAATTTGTCTAGACTCCTAGAGGCAGCCGCTAGCAGAAGGATGCTTTAAAGTGTGGGTGTGAATATCTAGAGGAGTTATCTGGAAAAAGCTACTTTCCTTCTGTGGCCCTGGGGATTCCTGGTGTGCACACTTAGAACAAAAGTGGGGATTTGGGGGGGAGTGATGTTGGTAGCAGAGGGTAAAGGGTATTTTCATCAAATTTTTTTTCTACTTTTGGACTTCTCGATAACATTTCTTCTTTTGCATTGGTTTATTTAAGCTTCTATCAGCTGACCTATTTTTTAACTATGTAATAAGAAACAAGTAAGCCCAGAAAAACATCTTTTATGCCCCTTTATCAGCCTTCTCTCTTTCTTGCCAAAACCCTGTGTGTTTTTATAATCGGTAACTACATGCTATTTTATCTAGACATTTAGTGCACAATCTTATCTGAGCTGTTGCAGAAATTAGAATTCATGCTTTTCTAAATATAGTATCATGTTTCCATAGATGGTGTATATTAATGGTATTTAATGATTTGATTTTGATCTATTTTGATTAATAACTACTTCCATAGTCAATCAGCTCTGTGACCCTCACTTCCTTTCTTAAGTCATGATGTAAGATCCTGCTGTGTTCTCTAAGGGAAAACTCAGAAAATTTGTTGTTAGGGCTTCTCTAACAGAGTGATGGGTCTGAGGGATTAGGGAACCGAGTGCTAAGTGTTGCCTGGATCTTTTACTCCAGGCCATTCTTCAGAGGGCAAAGAAAGGACTCAGTTCTGGGGTCTGGCCAAAAGTGCCAGCTAGTATAAAAGCTAAGACTATTTAGAGGGTCTGGTGCTCTTTAAAAATGTGACTCTGCTTCCAGACAGGACCATACCTTTCTTATTAAAAAAAATTCTGTCTTAAAAGTTTATTCATATGCCCAATTCATAACTACTTATAACCTTGAAAAATTTTTGCTCTTGGACTTTGGTTGATCATGGTTGGAAAAGTTACAAAAATGTTTTGGTTTCCTCACAGTAATACTATAAAACAGCTACTATAAATAGTGTGTTACATTAATAATATATTACATTTGGAAAGCAGATAATATGATATATGTATGATATATCTGCAGTTGCATGCTTAAAATATTCATGCACAAAAGAAAAAAAAAAAAACAGGGTACATAGACCAAGCTGTTTCAAGTATTATTCTGGGAAGCAGCAATTTGGGTGTATTTTTCACCTTTTTTTATTCTATATTTTGTAAGGGTTTGGTAGTAAACATGAAATAAAGACAGTGTTTTAAAATTGGCTCCTACAAAGCTTTTAACAAATGAAATTCGTGAGGTATGTTGGGTCTATGTGTTCAAATTCTACACTGTGCTGTCTAGTATGGTAGCCGCTTGGCTCAAGTGGATATTTAAAATTATATGTAAATTCATGAAAAGCAAAATAATTTATTAGCAGTTGAATTCTTAGGTCACATTAGCCACATTTCAAACTTTAATAGCTGTTCTCTCATCTTCACAGAAAGTTCTATTCTGTAGTCCTAGTGGAGATGTAGTTTACCAAACTATACCCACAACGCTAAGTACATGCGTGAGCCAGTTTTCAGAGGCATAAGAATAGGCATATTCCCTTTGCCATAGATGCACAGAGACTCCCCATCATCAGTCCCTTTCAGACATCAATCTGTGGTCCAATAAATTCAAAAACTTTATCCCATAGTCATTTTACCTACTGACTAAAAGGGAGCTCAAGGCCAGAACGCTAACTCCTGGCTCACAGCTCTAGTCACCATATATCCCTACTACCATCCCCTCCAGAAAATAAAGGCTTCCCAAGAATACGTCAGTTCAGTATAATTTCATAGACAATTTTTGAGAACTTACAGTGTGATAGGCACCATAATAAGCACTGGGTATCGAAAACCAAGTAAGAGACTCTTCCTTAACCCCAAAGGGTGTCAAAGTACAAGAACGGGAAGGCATGCTGGGTAAATAAAAGCTCAAAGTAGGGACATAGCTGTTATTTATGGGAAACCCAGAAATGCTTCACACACAGGAATATGCTTGTGCTGGGGCTTGAGCTTTATGCATCTGAGTTCACAAATTAGCACTTCTTCACTCGTCTCAATTTCTCCATGCTGCAGAAGAAAAGAGGTTAGACTATATTTGAAATGCAGTCAACCCTGGCCTAATATTGCTGTTGCTATTTCTTCACATCACAAGGGATCATTCGATATGTTCAACTTTTTAAATTTGAAGGAGTTTTCTCATTTTCAGCCTCTGTTCTATACCTGTAAACTCATTTTAAGTCTTCAAATGAAATAAAATGCTACTTTCAGATTTAGTCATCCATTCCATTCTGGATTACATAAAAACAAATAAAGCATCTGGGTGACTGACTTGTGTTGGCAATGTCAAAACCCAGGATAACAACCTGGAGCACCCTGTTCTCAAATCATCTTTATTTTCACAGATGCGATGCTCTTGGTGGCCGAGCGACTGGAAGGACCTTTCAACATCGAGTCGGTCATGGACCCCATAGACGTCAAGATCTCCGAAGCCATCATGAACATGCAGGAGAACAGCATGCAGGTGTCGGCAAAGGTATTTGCATTAGTCATACGTCTTCTAATGAGGAAAATGCAGTAATCTGAAAATGAAGTAACTAGATATGTCGGCTGGGATTAGAAATTCTAATACGTTGTCAGTGAGCTTTTCCTGTCAAGCTACAACTTTGCTACTTCATTAAAAATGTCTAGCAAAATGGCACTGAGAAAGGAAGCAATCTTTTATTTCACAACTACTCAGTCATGAAGAAATTATTGGCTGCTAAAAAGTTTCAGAGAGACTCAAGTCCACGGACTAATCCCTCACATTTGTAAGCAATTTGGGGGGAATTTTCTTTATAATGCTGGAAATCTCGGCACACCCTCGCCCTGTTCTCTCTCTAGTAACGCCTAATTATATCTTCAGCTGCAGAGAGCAGGCAAATGTTCTATATTTTCAATTGTAAATAATTAAACATTCCCTCTGACTTCCTTTTTTAAGACTATGCTGTGAGCTTCTTTAATGAATCTTCAGGGGTAAATGTGCCTTTGTATGAAGTCAAGCGCACATTAAAAGGAAAAAAGGGTAGTACATTTTCATAAATCATATGAGACAGGCTTCTAGCTGGGCAGCTGCAGAACACAAATACCAGGTGCACAATTTTTATTTGTCCCCACCCAGTTGAAGATTAACAGGACCCCCCTTCAACAAAATTGAGAAGGTGCAGTGGTCTCCAGTCTCTGCCTTCATCACGACTTCTCTCCCACTTTGACACTGCACAATGCGCCTCTGTTCTTTTTACCAGTCTCCCTGTCGTGAAACACCAGCCAAATCTATATCAGTCCTTGAAACCTGGTGACGGAGTGCATTTTAATTGAAAGTCATTCACACAGATCTATGTCAGGCAAAGAGATGCATGTTTAACTTTCTTCCATGAAAAAAAAATCTTTGTGAAAGTGACTTCAAATATAATCAAGGAGAGGAAGACAGGTGAGGGTGGAATACTGCCCAGCAGAAACAGAGCCAGGGCATCTGTCTTGGTTTTCCCTGGTTGAGTGTGAGTCAAAGCAGATTTGGGCTTTTCAGAGAGAACTGGTAGGAGGTAGGGTAAGAAAGAACCTGATTTGGGTTCCTCTCTCACTTTGGGAGCTGAGTGGGCTGAGAGTTTCCTAGACCTTGTTCTGGGTTTTAATGAGCTTGGGTAGCCTGCGAAAAGGAAGATACTCCAAATAAGCATCTCCTGGTGGGCAAATAACACATGTGGGGGTTCCATGAAAAGCTGCCTCTGCCTTTCCTGTGCAAAAATAGCCATCATCTGTTTCTCTCAAATCTATTGCCTAGAAAAGACTTAAGGTGTTTTTTGCTTGTTTTTTGCGTGGCAAACCCCCAACCAGGCACTCGAGTAGGTGCTCAGTTTGCTGATGTTCAAAGTGCTCCGGAGAAGCAGGCATGAAAAATCAGTGTCTGTGATTTGAAACCAGCACACACATCTTAAGAAGTGGAGGTTTCCTTTGGCGTGGATGTGCACATGGTCGAGTCAAGTTATTTTGTTGAAAATTCTCTAAGAAGTAAAATGGATTCTCTTTATTAACTTGAATGTGGATGAGACAATTTTTTAGAATTTGTACCACTCTTATAACAGTCTTGCAACTCATAGGGAATGTATTTTTTTTTTTAAGTTTCTTATTTTTTATTTTTTTTTTAAGATTTATTTATTTATACAAGCACTGGGTACAGTAAGAAGCATGGGAGGGTGAGAGAATTAAACAGAGCCAGAGAAGGGAACAGAACAGGCAGACTGACGAAATACACTGCTGAGGGGAGCAGCGGGCGCAGCAGGAGAGGTCTGCGCACCATGTGGGACCCTCGCCCCGGCAGCCAGGGATCAACTAGCAGTGCAGAGGCTGCGGGCAGCTTCACAGCCCATTGCTCAAACGCTGTGCTACTGGGGGGGCCCCGGGAATGTACTTTTAAAAAAATACACAGATGTCTGTATAAAAAATGTACAAAATCAAGAGTAGAAACAATACAGGGCATGTCAGAGTACACATGAGGATACATTATGGAGGGTCATAAATAAAGGTACAAAAGATGTTAAATGAGCAAAAATGACAACAAAAAGAGAAGTGTATCTGGTAGCATAAGGGAAGGAAATGGAGTGAGTTAAGGAAGGGGGGAGGAGAGGAGAGCAGGGAGCCTTTGCAGGAGGCAGTCTCTGATCTGGAAGAGGGCAGAGACAGGACCAAAACCAGACTTTACTGTAGTAGAGAGGTAAAAAGTGGTTGAAATTTGGATCCATTTAACAGCAAACACCAACAGGATTTGCTGATGAGATAGTTATGGTCTGAAGAAGTTTTTATTTCATCAAGAGTGGAATTTGCAAATACATGGTTTCATTTTCCATAGAAGCCACATCTATGAAATTTGCTTGAACTCTAATCTAAATTCTGCATGCTTGCTAAGAAGTGGATGGCTGCATTTTTTTTTTTTCTTTTTCCAAAGAAGCTTTACTCATTTCATACAGTCTCATACAGTAAGAAGTTCTAGATTTCCAAACTTCCCCTGGAATATTTGCATAACCAGACACTTCATTAATTTCTAACAAGCAAGCTTTGGATGACAGGTAACTATTTCCTAATTGGGGACCGACTTCCTGAGAGTTGTAAAGCTTACAAATTAAAATGACATGTTACTTCCGGATATGAACAGCAACTTCTCCTTAGAAAACCATTTGCTTTATGTAGCAGTTACCAGTAGAACACATAACCAGACCTTCTTTCAGAAAAGCAATAATTTTTCCAACTCATATTTGCTGAGTCTTGCTGCCAGGGTATGCTTGACATGGTTCTTGTTAATGCAGTATTTGTAACTATGCTTGTGATCAGGTAGATCTTCCTCCTTCTTTTCCAGGTAAGGAAACTAAGACTTAGAAAAGTTAGAGAACTTACAAAGGTCTCCTGTACTTGAAGGAGTAGCCGATTCCAGAGTTGACCTGGCTAGTCACTACATTTTAATGATGGGGCTGCACACTCTGCCAGTCTCATGCAAGGGTGGGGTTCAGTCAAAATCTGCTGTACAAGAAAGTTCAGTAGCCTTCAGTAAAACCAGCCAGAGAAGGTAAGAAAACACAGTTGTCTGTGGCAGGAGGATTTAAGGTCCCTGTTTGTCTGGTTCCCTCTACCTAGTACTTCCCATCTTACAAAATTCTAGTGAAATGCTTCTCTTAGCTAGCTCTGTTATTCATTACTTCTAACCTGTCCTAGAGGGTTAAGAGTATAAAATAAGAAAGCCCACATTTTTCTCCCTTCTATCTGAAGGCAAAAGATAAACAAACCACGATTTCAGAGATGACATTTCCCTCCCCTAACGCAGTAGTTGTCATTCTGTCTCTAGGAGGGAACAGCCAACCTTTTGTACCTAATCATTAAGATCCTGAATGAGGGAGATGCACAAGCTCATGGAAAAATTTACTCTCATTTTGTATGTTCAAGCTCCAATCTTGTCTTAGATGTGCTTTTGTAGGTATTGTCAGATCTGTTTTCCTCTCATTTTTAGTCCACAGCTAAGCTATTGGGGGTAAAGCACACTCACAATCTTGTCAAAAAAATATGTCAGTTATACAGAGTTGTATAGTCATGGTACAATGTTTAGGAATATCATTGGAGCACACTTCCCGAACTCTTAATTTGTTTATCTTTTCTACAATATTCATATGATATATATGTATACAAGATTCATATATCATTGTTACAGGGCAGGATGAGGGACACCCCAGAACCCCCAACCTGCACTCTAAATAGGTTCTGCCGTCCGCCACATCAAGACCAAACATTCTGTAATGCATAAGACCTTCAATAGAAGGGAATTTTAATACACTTAGTGTGCAATAGAGTAGGAAAAGAATAAGTTACCAAATTAAGCACTCAGTGTGACCCATCCCCTCATGGGTAAATGCCCAGCCAAACAGGATTAGCCCAAACTAGGGCCACTGAGGCCTGAAAGTCTGCCACAGGGCTAAGGCCCCTCCTGGCGGGGACCCACAGTAAAGGGACAGAAGTGGCCCAGCACATCTGGGACAGAAGGAGAAATATCAAAATCAAGATAAAAGCTGCCATTGTCAACCTCCCACTGGTCTCTTACCCACCTCTGTTTCACCCAGTTCAAGTCCAAGAAGCAAGTGCAGCTTCTTCACATGTCTCTCACTCCATGGGCCTCCACCAGGTCTCCTTCTGGCACCATCCTGCTTCCTTCCTTCCCCAGTCTCCTCTCCAGCTTCTCCTCCTCCCTGCTCAGCTCCACCCTTCCTTGGATGGGACAGGGAACTTGGAACCTCCCCTTTTCCTGGAGACCACCCTGTTACAATATGGCTAGATAATAGTATACAATAATATAAATGTTATATATATTTTAAAACCATATTAAAACTTTTCTTGCTTCCTTTCTGGAAAAATAATCACCTGGCAACAATGACAAGCTGCCATTGGCTGAGCAACTCCTGCATTCATTCAATAAACACCCTGCCATGCATCAGACATGAGGAATACAGCAGGGACAAAACAATTTTCTGCTCCCTGTCATTCCCTTTCTCGGTGTCCTATATATTCATTTCAAATCCTCACTACAATTTTGTAAAGCATTCATTTCCTTGTTTTAAAGGTAAAACGTTTTACCTTTACAGAGATTCAGTGGGAAGCCTGAGGTCATGCAACTAACAAGGGGCAGAGTTGAAATTGAAGCTCAGAACTTTCTGATTGAAAGAAGTAGATTGCTGGAGGCGATTATGCTAAGCAAAATAAGCCGGAAGGAGAAAGATAATACTGGATGGTGTTGCTTATATGTGGGATATAGAGAAACCAAACAAAGGGTCAGACAAAGACAAATTTTAAAACCAAGCTTTGAAAGCTGACCGTTGAGCTGAGGCATCCAGTGGGGGGTTAGGAGGACCTAAGAACAGGGTGGAGAGGCAGTTGAGGGACTCTGGTGGAGGACTGTGAGTATCTTGGTGGTGGGTGTGCTACGGGGACTATACCTGAGGAGGGAGAGCCTATACTTCAAAA